GTATTTTCACAGTAACATGGAGAAAAACTGCTATCACTGATAGTCGTTGGAATCAAGGTTTGTTTTGCATACAAAGAAGGCGGAGTCCCGGGTGTCACGTCACATGATTTGCTGTAGGTCCTCTATTGAGTGTTGAACATTAATATAAATGTAACTCCAAAGTGACAACACTGGCACGGCTTCCTTTAGACGGGCTCTTTATTAAACACCGTGAAAACTACAGAAATAGAAGACAAAGTTTTAGATATCCATACATTTACAGACAATCAGGTGACACATGCTTTAGCAGAAGTTACCTCGTGAACGCCTACCACTTCAGAGGTCTTTAACAGTTAAATTCTTCCTCGTACACTCTAAATTTAAATATTAAGTAATTAAAACACCATAACCAATACCACTGCAAAAATATTACAAACATAACTACAAATAACTTGACAGCAATAAATAATAATCAATAAATCAATAAATAATTAATTCCTTCAACATTTAGTAAAACTCTACACACTTTAAAACACAACATTCAGTTAAGTTAAAATTTTCAACTGAGCAGGACTAAATTTCCTTCAACTTGTTGCTTGGACTCATTTTTAATAAGGGAATGAACTGTTAAACAAAAAATTCACCTTAACTTGAAATATGTAAGTGGACTTAGTCGACTCTTTTCTATAATACAGAGAGAAGGACTGATAGAGATAGAACACTGACATGCAGGATGCATGATGAGTCAAACTCCAAAACTTCGCCCAGATAATAAGTCCCAGTCTTGTCAAATTGCAAATAAAGAATTGAATGTTTATGACTGAAAAACAGATAACCTCTAAAAGTATGCCACAATAAATTAAGTCTACACAACATTATTTTGTTGAAATTTAATGTTCTTCTAATTTAACAAAAACTTGAATAAGCTAAATTTATTTTTTTTTTTTTTTTTTTTTTTTTTTTTTTTTTTTTTAGGAAATAAGTTTGTATGATATTATATAAAGTCCACCAAATGCACTTTAAAATGTAGAGCATCTGTTAAAGAGCTCAGAGGAAGTTTTAGTGATTTTTTTTATTTCTTTGATCTTAAAGTACATAATCAACTGGGAAAAGATTTGTTAGGATGCATCGGTTGGAATGCATAAAAACAAGCTTTAAATCATTAGACCATATCTGGATAGGACTTTAAAAAATTTATGAATGAATAGCAGGCTTATTAAGATGGGTTTTTTTTATACAAAGATGCTACACTTAAACAATGATTGAAAATTATACAGACTTTATAAGTCAAAGCTGTTGTTTATTCACTTTTAATGTAATGACTAATTTACAAAACAAGCCAAATCATGACACGCGTTGTTTTGGTTCTTTCTCAATGTTCTCCTAAATGTTTCCAGCAGCAGATGGAAGAGGCAGCTGATTATACTTGAAAAGCCCGATGCATCCCACCTGCACTGAATCAAACATCTGACAGATGAAGTCAGTAAATCCACTCACTCATAGTGGAAAATTTAGGGTAGAGTTTGTTTTTTGTTTTTTCAAAGACAAAATGTAAACTGAACAAGAGGCAAAAATTGGATGGTGAAATCCTTTAATGCAAATACAAATGCATGTACTGTAAATGGAAAAATATAAATTTGGAGTTACCGTAGAGTACGTTTAGAGCTGGGTAGTATAGCCCGAAATTGTACAAAAGACTAGTGTTTTATCAAAATATTTTTACAAGTAAAATGAAAAAGTAGTCATGCAACACTATTTTCTCCTCAAGGAACCAGGCAAAATATCACTCAAGTTCTAAAAACGAGGCAGACGAAAATATGAAATAAATAACATCTTTAAAAAATTTGAGCAAAATATCCAAGTAAGGCTAATTTTTAGCGTGTTTGAATACCACTCACCATTCCCTGTGTCAAAACGTTTCTTATACTTTATAATCTCTTCTATGTCAAGTACTGTAGGCTTAACAGATAATAATACAACAACATAGATTGTTCATGTAGTAGATGAGGTATTATCATTTCCTTAGATGTCAAGAGGTGGTAGAGAAGCCAAAATTATTTCAAATTAAACCTTTCAAAATGTTAATCAAGAAAGTCTAAATGATTCAGTTAAACTAATTATCCATCTCTATCTGTGTCTTATAAACAATGGGAAGAATAATTTCTCACCATCACCTGACCAAGAAGATTGTTTTTTTAAGGAATAAAGATACTGGCTATTGAAAAGGCCTCTGCTAGGAGAAGTTCAGCAGAACTTAAAGGTGGTAACCTCTTTAAAATCAAATATTGAAAATGTACTCTTGGAAGTATGCTTACACAGTCTTTTCTTTTTTTCTCACTGCAAAGGTTAATGTGCTTTTCTATTCATTTCACATACCACTCAAAACATTTTTGCTTTAGGCAAGGCAAGACAAGTTTATTTGTATGGCACATTTCTGTGTCAAGACAATTTAAAGTGCTGTAAATGAATAGAACACATGAAAAAGCCACATAGGGAATTACACTGTATTGGGATAATAAAGGTAGATAAAGAGATGTTGGACTACTAACTTGTTAGGTTTCAATTAAAAGTAAAAGGAAACTCTTAACAAATGTTGATTTAAATAGTGTGTGTCTTCTAGTGATGCTAAGCTGTTCAGTGATTTATAGACTAACAACTATTTAATGTCTGTTCACTGGGATACAGGGAGCAAATAAAGAGTGTTGGATACAGGGAGCTACTGTATTATAAAAACCTTCAGAACTCGGGTTATGTTCTCTACTTTCTATGTTTTAGTCAGGGCATAGGCAGCATTATTAACTCTACATGCAGTAGATCAGTGGGAAAGCTAGTTTTAAGTACCTCATAAAAGGATACATTAACATGACATCTACACGTTAAAGGGGTCATAGAATGATTGCATAGGGTATTTGTTGCTGTTCCTTAATGTCTCTGAATAGGGTGTGTAACATTGGTTGGGCTGAAAATGGCACATTTGGTGTCCTATGAGCCCCTGGTTAAAAGCCTTAGAATGAAATGACAGGTTTTCTTCCTTATATGGTATGCTCATGAATATTTAGATGAGCTGTGCGCTGATTGGTTGGTTTACAACGAGCAAAGCTGCTGAGCAAAGACGCATCATAGCAACAAGCACTCACTCAGTGAAACATCAAAGTTGTTGATATGGTAGGGTGACCAGACGTCCTCTTTTTCCCAGACATGTCCTACTGTTCATACTTAAAAAAATGTCCGGGGAGAATTTAGAAATCGTCTGGGATTTTGGTCAACTACAGTGCAACATGTAGTCAAAACCCACCGGGCATTCGAACCGAGCCGTCAGCTCTGGGGCTGGTCTGGGAATCACGGGGGACGGGGGCCAGCGAGGGTGCGACCGAACCAGACCCGGTGATGGTAGCCTGGACACAGGCAGCCCCATGCTTCCCCCTACCTGCCTTACTGGCCCCCAGCCCCCCTCCTTCGGCTGAGGAAGGGTGGCTCATGGGTCTCTGCTGAGGTCTGTTCCAGTCAGCGGCCCAGCAGTCGACACTTCATACCTCCCACCATGATTTGTAGAGTCCTGTTTAGGACCTCATGTGTAACATGTTGCTGCCACAATACTCATTTTGGGTTAGACTTATGTGCACTGGTAGTCATTGGAAACTGTGTCAGCCATTTTGTTTTCCAAATGTTTGCTGTGGCCAAGTCGGGCTAGATTGCACTTTTCTCAAACTTTTTGAACAGTACTAAATGACATGTCAAAAGCTTTGGAGTTTAATGTTTTATAAGCTGTAAGGCTGCAACTAAAAGTCCTGCCTATCAATTAATCTGGTTATGATTTTTTGCAATCAATAATCGGACAGCAAAAGGTTCCTTAAAGATTTTTTTTTCACAAAATGTAAACTAGGTGAAAAAGTTTTTATTTTAATTTTAAATTTGAATTATTTTATTTTTTTTTTAGAATGTTGGTATAATTGCTGCTCTAAGTGGGTTTCTCTGTCTGCTAAATGCATGTTTTAGACTCTTTATACTCCAGGTAACATTTTATGGATTACTGAATTAGTTGATTTCAATAACTGATTAATCATGATTGATCTAATTCATTGTTTCATCCCATAGACAGTAAAGCCCTTTGTGCTTTGTTCTTCAAAATGTTGCATGTTCACTACAATCCAGTGAATACCATCTGAAATGTTCACAGAACACTTTTTTATAGTTAATTGTTGTTCTCCAATGTATAAACAGTAGAAGGTATGTGTGCTTCATACATCATGGTTTAGGATTTGGAAAGAAAACCGAGTTCGGCATTTTTAAATAAAGTGTGGCCAAAATATAATGTAAAAAATTCAAGAATGCACATTTCTAGACTTTTGAGCTCCTAATTGCTTAATATTAGCCTGCATGATTGTAACTGAATAGTAATTATTACCTAAAGTAATTGTAAACTGCAAAATACAGAAAGCAGGAATGGTGTTTTCAAGTTTTGTTTCATAGTTTGTTGTGTCAGTGTCATTTTAATTTTTTTGGTCAGATTGGTTTTTCAGGATTTACGTATTTTTTGGACGCTAGAAACCCAAGATAAACGGATGGATTATTTCTTATGCCTTTAAACCGTACTGATACATTTTACGTGTTTAATTAATACAGTTAAAGTTTTAGTTAAACTATATTCTGTTTGTCATTTTGGAGTTAAAGCTCCACAACTGGTAGGAAATAGAAAGATGGCTTATTGTTCAGAGCTTTTGGCTTCCAAGCACATCTGAAATCGTTTGTGACTCTGATTAGTTGTCTTTTCTGAAGGTTCTCTCCATGATCTTATGTTTTTGCATAAATTATGCAGTATGCCAAGAAAAATAGTTATACTGGAAACTGTCATTTGGAAGTGAAGCTTTAGGAAAGCAAACTGCAGAACCTTTAAAAACCTTTTCCTAAAAAAGTAATGAAATAAAAAAGACCATAATCTGACAAAGTTGGCTTAAATTTAATTCAATAGAATTTAGGTCTAATTTATGTTGCCTGAATAATTCTAAAACTTTGTTTTGCAGAAGAGAAACCTCTGGATCCTCAAGCCGGGAAACAGACAGCTGCGGACAAAATCTATGGGGAGAGCTGGGAGCCTTCAATCCATCTGGATGGAAAACCAGTGGACCGCTTCCTCTTCAACACCAACAAACCCACAAGGTCTCACCGCTTTACTAAAGTGAGCAAAGACAGCCACCCTCATCCAATGGAGGATGTAGGTAAGACCGATCACGTTTAATTTAATGGGTGATGAGAATGGTTTGTTAATTCTAGCCATCCAAACTGGACCTAATTTTTGGACATCAATAAAAGAAGAAAAATGTACATGGTAAAAAAAAAAAGGATACATTTGGCTTGGAGGAGCTCTCAAGACCACGGTGATGCGAGGGTGAGGAAATGTATGTTCAAAGTCGACAAATCGTTGAGCAGAGAGAAAACACAATTTTTTAAGCATGTGCGATTGATTTATTTCCTGTGGATGAGTTCATAATTGGATGTACTTTCTAAAAAGTTTGCCAGAAAAAAAGAAGTTGGATCAGGAATTGTATACGTGACAAACAGTCATTGGCTCAGTGTTTATTTTAGACTGTAAAGTAATATTTAGGCCTTGTCTTGTAAAGAATAATTTGGGTCCTTGTTCCTCCCACACAAATACAGTAGTCTGCATTGATGAGACAGTATAGCCTGCTTTTACCATTATTCTATTTGCATCAGTCTTTGACAACTCTGAGCCAGACTTCATGAGCGACTCAAAGTCTGCAAGCAGCCCTTTTCCAAACCCGGCCCCTGCTCCTATAACCCAATCCTCTCTGTTGTGGTCACTTGTTATGAGCGTGTGTGGCTGTGGAAGTGGTGCACAGTAGTGAAGTCATGCATTGTCATGTATTGTTGTGCCTGTTGTTTGTTGAAAACAGCAACTCGGGATGCCTTTTGGTTTGTGTGCGCTGCCTAGTGTACGTTGTGGCAGCCGTTGTGGTTATCCAACTCCAGTGAGGTTCGCCATAAATCTTTAGCAACTGGGCAGGAGTTTTAGAGCTGCCTTTCCAGAAATTCCTGAGGGTTCATATGTTCTTCCCTTAGCAGCATGAAAGCTACATCAGTTATCATAAATAATACTATTCTGTTTGCTTTCACGTCATTAATTTGTCTGTCTGGCCAGCCACCGCTAGAACAGCAAAAACACAAGAATAGGTTGACTTATTATGAGCAAAAAGGAAATAGGTGGAAAGTAATAGAAAATGGAAATTAGAAAAATAATTTCAGTTTTCTCATTAATATATATATATATATATATATATATATATATATATATATATATATATATATATATATATATATATATATATATATATATATATATATATATATATATATATATAAAGAAATGGTCTGCACTACAGAAAACAAAAACAGGTAATATACAATTAGATAAAAAAAAGAGGGGAAAAAGTTTGGTTCTGTTTCTGACTGCAAGTATTCAATAACTGTCTTCTCTGTATTTCAGACCCAGAGTGGATTAACCTGGATGGATTTGCTGTGTTGAGTCAGGCACCTGTTAAAAACTCATCAACAGGTAAAGACCTCAAAGCGGAATTGTTTTCTTTAGGCTGCAACTAATGATTGTGTTACAAATCGATTAATCTGTCAATTATTTTTTTGATTAATAATCGGATAGCCAAAGGTTCCTTAAAGATTTTTTACCAAATTAAACCAGGTGAAACTAAGATGTTTCCACTTGAGGAGTTCTGGACAGAGCATATTGACAGACAAATAAATTTTTTATGTTAAATGCAAAATGTTTATATATATTTTCCACAATATTGGTATAATTACTGCTCTAAGTGGGTTGCTCTGTCAGCTAAATGCATGTTTTACAGTCTCTGTACTCCATTTAATGATTAATCGATTACTAAATTAGTTGACAAGTATTTCAATAATCGATTAATCATATTCAAATAATTGTTCCAGCCCTAGTTTTCTTATATACTGGACCCTCACCATAAACTTCATTAGGTGCATTTGCATTTAATAAAATGCACTACATTCAGTCATTTACAGATATTCACACAGGATGGTGGCAAGATAGCTGCACCTGCACTGAGGCACACTTACATATGCAAAGCTGCCATATATATGGGCCACTGGACCCTCTGACCACCATGCAATGCCGGTGAAGTATCTTGCCCAAAGACACGACCGAGACAGACGCAACAGACTGATTGACAGTCTATGTTAAGCACTTGTTAATATAGTGACTCAGACAGTCTTTGGCAACAATCTATATGGTATCTAGAAGGATGGAATTAAATTGACTGTGATTGTGGTACGTTCGCTGGTACCAGCTGGTCTAAACACCAACCAGGTTAAAAAAAAAATTATGTAAAAAAAAAAAAAAAAAAAAAAAAGAAGAAAAAAAAACTCATGGTGGAATTTATGTTGACAATAATGTCATGGAGAATAGAAAGAGTTTGTTTAGCCCAGGGGTCAGCTATCTTTACAATCCTAGGAGCCAAATTTCTCCTTTATTCAAGCTCAACAAATTTGGACTCTAAGAATAAAAAGATTTTTATATTATAACAATATCTTTAGTTTTTTAGGTTTAATACATTTTCATGATTGGGACATCCAATTTTCTATAAAACATAATATCAAAGACTAGAACTTTTGTAATTTACTTAGAAGAATTAGCTTCATAAGAAAAGAATACTACCTACTTACATCAGTTTTAAAACATTACTTTGATTTTTGGAATGTTTTGTACAAGTTATCAAGAGCCACATGCAGCTCTAGGGCTGTACGTTGCAGAACCTTGGTGTAGATGATTAAAAAAATACAACTAAGCTATGCAAATGTAAGCTAGATGTACTAAAGCAGCAAAAGGCCACATAAAGAGGCATGAATCACTTGTGCCTTGAAAATATGGTCAGATTTAGGCCTAAGCACCAGGAATGCATGGTTTCATGCAACGTTATGTCAAGGGATAAGCTCAGTGGTTGAGGTTTAGGGGTGTGGAGATAGTCCTCTTTAGAGCCTCTGCTGCCAATGAACATTGCTTAAACAACACAGTCCATTGAGTAGGACTTCAAAGAGGACAGATTTGTATGTAACAAAACACAAATCATCTCAAACTGGTTTCTTAAACAAGACAATTATTTAACTGGATTCCAACGGGCTCCACAATCCGTAGATCTTAATCCAATAGAGCCGTTTGGGAAGTGGTGAATTTGGGAATTTGTACCTTAGATGATGCAGCCAACAAACCGGCAGAGACAGTTTGATTTTATCATTTCAGAATGGACCAAACTGTGTGAGGAATGCTTCCAACATGTTGCTGGATCTTTGCCATAAACAGTTTAGGCAGTACTGAGGACAAATGTCTATTGGCTCATTTTCCTTCATTCTTACACTCTTCCTTTTCCTTAAGGTCCAGACACTCAGTGACTCATTGTTTCCCACATTTTTAACCTGGTATATTTTCCTTGTTTGTTATCCAAAATTTAAAATCAACAAGTGTGTGGTAATGGTATACGCTATAAAAATGACCTCATGTTTTCTTTTCAGTGATCTCAACAGAATGTAGTGGTGTGAAAATTAGCAGCAGACATATGTTTTTCTTGCTTATTGTCACATTAACCTCTATTAGAAATTCGACATAAGCTGAAATAAACCTGTGGAACTTTGATACTGTGTATTTTAACACCCATCGGCCAGGTCAAGGAAATTCTCCTGGTCCAGAATTGTCAGAGTAAAATGCTGCATGTACTTACGCTTTAATCTCTTCCTATGCCTCAGATTTTATAATTTTGAATGTGTGAGGGACTGAGACAAAGAAAATCAGAGAAGTCACTGGGAAGTTTGAAGAAAAAATGGAAACAAATTTATTTACTACAAAATTATGAGCTCTAAGCATAAATCTGGGTTCAAAAATAAAAAAGAGGTCAACAAAACCAAACATGACACAAGCAACTGAAGTATTAATTGACATAGCATACTGACACACAAGGGGAACATGATCAGACCATTTGAATACATACATTTACCTAAACAAAACTACAAAATAAAGAGCAAACTAATCTATACAATACAAAATCAGTAAACTGAGAGAAAATAATTTAAGTTATTAAACTCTTTAACTTTAATTAAAACGAAAATCTAATGAAATTAGAAAACTTAAACTATCTAACACCTCTTCTAAAAAATAAGTGAAAGAGTCCAATCAGGTCTCAGTGCCACTGAGATTATTTGCAGCTGGGACTCCTGCTTCACTGGCCCAGCCAAGCCCACATGGCAACCTCACAGGAACTGGCAACTCAAAAGAAAAGAATTAGTTGAAAGTGTTTGTACAAGAAAAATGTGACAAAATTACTTTTATTGTGGGGTTGCACATGCTGCATTCACAGAATGTTTTTGTTGCAGAGAAGAATAGAGAATCAAAAACCACAACTTTGTGTTACCTAAGATGACCTAACTGTTGCTTTTTGAGGATATATTTTTACATTACTGGCTTTGGTTAACCTATTTCTGGGTTAATACCAGTCTAATGATGGCCTTACAAAAAACTTCTATTTCGTTGAGTCGGTTTTTTATTTCTAATGAATAAATCAATAACTTTTCAGAATTGCCTGATTGCATTTTTACTTATTAATGCAGAAAAAAATCTTTGCAGAGCTCTCTTATGGTGCAACAACACTAAAGCTCATGATACCAATGAAGTAATCTGAATGTAAATTGTGATTCTGTTTAATTCTCTTTTAGGTAAAAATGCTAGTTTCACAGTATGTCCATAAAGACATGCTTAATCTCTTTCAATGGCCCAGCAGGAAAGTCAGATATCAACAAAGCCTTTTGATAACATTTACTTTTTTATACCACTGCTCAAATCCCATCTGGTCAGTACATATTCTTTCAGTTAAAGCTGATTGCATTTAGACCTGATTCATTTGGGCTTACGGTAACAGTCCTCAAGTTATTTTGAACATTTTTACCCCGTATGTAGTTTTGTCCTGATGTGATTTGATCAGCATCGATAGAAGTTAGTGTTATGTCACAAAATAAAATCCAATGGGCTCTATGCACAGCTCCACTACTTCCTGAATTTAAGGCAGCTCCTTTGTTTCCTGTCTTTCATTACTGGACGAACTGATTAATCCAGGTGTGTCTAGCCAGTTACTTAGGTCATACACACCTGGATTAATCAGTGCATCCAATCATGAAAGACAGGAAACAAAGGAGCTGCCTTAAATTCAGGAAGTAGTGGAGCTGTGCATAGAGCTATTTGGAAAAAAAAAAAACATTATTTTGTTATTTTCATTCATTAACAACGAACAATATGAAGATGAACGCTGGATAACAGGCTGGTTAATATATTCCAAATGTTATTTAGTGTTATTCATTTTCAATATACATGTTTCTGTAATGTTGGGCAGTTGGACACGGTCTCAAAACAGTGGGACAAAAATGATTCTGCCTATAACACTAAACGTTACAAAATGTATGAAGCACAGATAAAAAAGGGAGGATAGCATAAAACAGGCATAGCAGCCATTGCAATATTTACTGATATTGCTGTTTTTCCATATAGTGAAGAGTCATTCTGTAAAACTTTTCTAAAGCTTTGCGGGCAACAAAATCAGGTGCTACAAAAAAAAAAACAGATGTAGATGTTGGGATAAATGACAGGAGACTTATTGCAGTAATATAACTTTCCCTTTTAGTGATAAATGACCATGGTTATGCAGACTTTAGAATAAGTGGGATATCAGTACTTAATGGTGTCAAAATTTTCCTCACCTTAACAACCCCCTAAAGGCAGGTTCAACCCAGAGTTCTGCAAGGAAATAAATTATGAAAACTCAAAAGCAGGATGAACCCAGTGAACTTTTAGTTTCTAAACTTACTTATTCATCAACAGGTTTTGTCAGGTCCCCACAAACCTCAGCTAGAAACAACTCTGCTGCAGGGCAAAAAACCAGAGTGGACAGAACAACACAATCTTCAGGTTTGCCATATACCAGGACACAGAGGAGGGCGCCTCAGTCCTCCTCAGGTCCAAGGCAACCAAACAGGGCTTTGCCAGGAGCCCCACTGTTAAAGAGAAGACGCCAACACCGCACCAAACCTCAGGCTGACCAGAGAAACCGTCAAACAGCAAAACTCAGTAAGACGACTTACATTCTGCAACTGATAACCAGGGACTGTTTTTATTTTTGTGTGTGACATCTTTGCTACGTAAAAGAATCATTCTTTGGGCTGCCTTTAGTGTCCATAGTGTAAACCCTGGCCGTGCCTGGTATCCTTTTCTATTCATAGCATCTGAGTCCGTTCATGTGGTGTCACTGCAGGCACAGAAAGCCCATGGCCGGAGCTTACCCAACAACAGAGAAGCTACAGCCAAAACTTCTCCACCAGGTAACAACATGTTTATTACAAAGCCATGCAAAAGTGTTCTTGCCACTTCATTTTCCCTTTTGTCACATTACAACCAGCAACCTCCATGTAATTTATCAGGACATTTTCTAATAGATCAACAGTAATCTTTTGAAGCCTTTAGCGTGTTTCTCCAGGTGTGCCCTACATTTAATTCCCTTGATCTTCCCCCTAACATTAGCCAGCATTTCTGTCTAGAAGGAAAGAATCCCCTCAACTTGATGCTGTGATCACAACTTCTATTTCCAATGGATTAAACCTTTTACAGTTGCTTTAACTTTTTCCTTTAATTTTTTTTTCCATAAAGGTCAGATTTGCTCTGTGTACAACAGATTTTTTTCTTGCCAGCAGATTTTCCTAACTAAACAGTCTATCTCTTCTGCTCCACTAGAGAAACCATGCTAGGAAGTAAAAAAATATTATATATATATATATATATATATATATATATATATATATATATATATATATATATATATATATATATATATATATATATATATATAAAAAAAAAGTGGCATAAGTACTTTTGGAAGGCACTGTAAGTAAATAATGTTCACTGAGCTAATTTGCACCTAAAAATGTTCATCTTTATGTCTGTGACGCTGTGTGTGTTGTTCAGAGCCCCCTGAATATGAAGCCCGGGACATCAGTGTTAGGGTCATGTCTCCAAAGTCTGTCCTGATCTCCTGGGTTGATCCAGCCGTTGAGATGGGGAAAGTTGTCCCTGGGGCATCCAGGTGGGCTTTTAAAAAGTGTATGTTGTTGCATGTAAGTCTTTTTTAAAAAGTGAAAGAAAAGTAATTTAAGGCAGTAAATTAACTGAAAAGAATTTCTAGAACTTCTCATTGTAATAAAGCATTTTCGTATACTCTTAAATCAGATCATACACAGTCAGGTTCAGGGAGAAGGGAGAGTCAGCACGCTGGGAGTACAAGGAAAGCACCCAAAGGAGAATAATGATAGACACTCTGTCTGCTGACGGAATGTATGAGTTCTCTGTCAGGATCTCTGAAGGAGAAAAACACAGCAAATGGAGCGTTTCAGTCTTTCAGAGGACTCCTGAGTCGGGTAAGTATTGTTAGCAGGTTTTTTTTTTAAATCCCATTAGGCATTTCCTCCTTTTTTCTTAATGCCACACCTCATTACAATCACTGACTATAAGCCTCCTGTGATATATATTTCTGGCTGCAGCTCCTTTTGGGTTACAGCAGTTGTGCTATGTCACAGGAGCTCTTTAACTGTGGTTCACTGGAATGTCAGTTTTTACTGCCTGGCTCCCGGTTCAGATATGCATCTGCAGTTCCATAGAAACTGCCATGAGACATTTTCTTGTTTGTATATGGCAGCGGTTGAAGCAACAATTTTTCATGCAATTTAAGAACCTTTTCTGAACATTCATATTTCTTGTTCCCTCTACTTTTCCACCAATTGTTCTTTTTTTTTTCATTCAATTTTGTTCTCTGTCTTTCATAGCACCATCTGGGCCACCCGACAATTTTGAAGTCAAGCCACTAAGAGGAAAAGGAACTGCTGTGATTGCAACTTGGGATCCTCCAGAAGAACCAAATGGAAGAATAAGAGGTGAGATTTTGAAAGGAAAGGCCAAATTCCATTTTCTAGCATCACCACTAGCACAAAACACTGGCATTATATTTAAATTAATCAGGAGGGTGGGGGGGGGGCATGTTTATAACAAAAAAACATGAGACTATTTTATATTTACTGGTTATATTACATCACATATATGTAATATAACCAGTTATAAAGCCAGTAACATACATTAGACTGGGATATTAGTTTAGCATACTTGTTTAAGTAAAGTAAACAATACTACAGAGCTTATTATATAAAAACTGAATGATCAAAAAATGACTGCAGTTAGAAAGTTTGTAATGAAACAAGATACCGTTTTTAAAAGTGCCTTTGTTTCTCTGTCATGTAGAGAAAGGATAGGGGTGGGGGATCATTTGGAGTTTGGCTAAAAAATAAAAATAAACTTTTTCCTTGTAATTAAATAAAATAAATCAATATAATACCATTTTGAACTTACACAATTACACAATAGAATAAACAAAATGAATTGGCAACTGAGGTTTGGATATGCCTTTACATTAATATTTTTGCTTAACCTGCAACGGCCAAAACCCTACATTGATTGGATCAAACTTAGTTTGTAAAGGCTGGACACTCAAGTTCTAGAGCTTAGAATTGTAGGGACCTTTTTAAATTTCATGCTAAATATCTATGTTTTACCTCCACACAGAGTATATTCTGTCTTATGCCCCTGCCAAGGATCCGTTTGGGATGAAAACTGTAACATATCGAGAGAGCACCTCCACAGCCACTATTGATGGCCTGACACCAGGAGAGAATTACATTTTCAAGATTAGAGCTACCAACAGAAGAGGAATGGGGCCACAGAGCAAGGCTTTTAGTGTTGCCATGCCACGGTGTAAACACAATTGACTCTACAGACTTTATGCATGCATTTATCCTTTAAAAATTCACACACAGATCATAACTCCTTAATCCTTTTCTCTGTTGCCTCTTTCAGCTACTAACACAGCCTCTTCGCTTTTAAAAACGGAGGAAAGTAAGAAACCCAGTCATTCTACGATTAAACATGACATCAATGAGAAATCCAGCCTTGAGTCCCCAGAGGAGCTAGAGGATCGAATTACAACTTCTAAGCCACACAATACCAAGAGACGTCTACCTCAACTTTCCCAGACACGCTCCTATCACAGTATCTTCTCCTCACTCAGGGGCTCGTTCAGGAATGTGGTTAACAGAGGTTCAACAAAAGGAGCAGAGAGAGAACAAAAAGAAAAGGATGATGGCAAAATAACTACAACCCAAGTTCCTGTAGTTCAAACAACTCCAGTTGTGCCGGAGACAAAAGAATTAGACAACAATGCTTCTCCATTATCTGAGAATGAGGTTGATTATGATGAAGAGTATCTGACTACTGTAACTCCCAGCCTAAGGACTTTGACACCCTCCACAACCAAACCTGCATATAAGCGTCCTTATCGACCAAACAGAAGGCCAATTAAGATCAGGGTCCATCAAAAAACTGGCTCAAAGACCAGTTCTTTGTCTTCCACTGGTTTAACCTCATCATCTTCAACTTTATCATCATCATCCTCTCCTGATTCTTTAATCTTATCCTCTGCTAAGAACTCTATCATTTCTTCCTCCAGTTCATCATTATCATTACCTGCTGAATCTTTATTAATACCTACTTCACATATTCCAAAGTCTGCACCAACTGGAAATGACAATGTGGACTCTACAATTCAAGAGACCAAAAATATAGACAAAAAAACTAACCCAACATCATCTAGAGACAGTTTAGCACACAGAAAACCTTTGATCACTGTCAGTTCACATGAGACAGGGTCCACCCAAACAGATACTAGTTCCACTGGGGCAGAGCGGAACAGAAACAATGGTTTGCGTTCTGGTTCAAGATATGTTTACGGTCGACGAAAGCCTGGATCTCTGTTTCGAGGGAATTTTACTCAATTGGTTAATGGGCATAAACCATCTGTAACCACTCAGTTTAATTTATCAAGCCATAATCAGAATCAAGCTGTATCAAACACAGACAGTTTGGAAAAGAAAGAGTCTGTATCAACAGGAATAAGTCAGAACCATGAAACAACAAATCCTTCCAACCCAAAATCATCAAAATCAACGTTAGGAAGCACATCGGACAGTCAGATAACATCAGATTCATCAATGTTTGATAAATCACGGTTTTCAACAGAGTCAAGGTCTCGTGGTTCTAACATTTTACAAGGCAAACATGCAGCATCAGTGAGTAAACTCCACAATTTGAATTCAGATACATCAGTTTCTTCTCATTCCGTTTCACCAAGATTACCTCACAGTTCTACAACTTCAGAAAACAACCACAATTCAAAGGGTTCAGACACTTCATCAAATCCGGACACTGCTCTCAGCAAGCAAACCGATACCCTTGAAAACAATAATAAAGAAAACTTAGAAGGCAAAACTGAAGAGTCAAATTTAAACTCAAGAGCTCAATACACACAGGAAATTAGAAAAGAAGAAAGACCAGATGAGAGTACTAGTAAAAAACCTGTAGTCTCTCATACAAGAATTAGCTCTTCATTTGCTGAACGATTTCCTTGGCTTGCAAGTCGATATCCAGGCAAGTTCACCTCAAGTTCGAGATCCTCTTCTCCCAGAAAGGATGTCAAGACTCCTTTGACCAGGGTGTCATCATCTATTGGTGCAGACAGACCGCTTTTAAAAGAGACGCCAACTAGGGTTTCTGAGGCTCCTTCAGGAGCTTCTTTAAAGCAAGAGACCATAAAAATTCGCAAGACCACATCCGGACCCGATTTGCTAAAGAATAGTGCTGTACTGAGCTCTGAGAAGCCTTCTTTACCCAATCAACCTGATGTATCTATTGATACTAGAAATCCAGCTCTAGTATCTTCCTCTGAAAGGTTAACTTCTTCATATTCTCTGTCCCTCTCTCCTGAGAAATCAATTGAACTCATGGATTCCATTGACGCCAATCATAAAGAAAAATCAAAGAGTGAGGATAATAGGAGGTACAATGTTGATGCAGTGAGTACAGAGAGCAATGAGGAACTTACAGGTCCAACAGCTGCCCAGACAAATCCTAAATCTCCATCTGTACACAGAATTGCAGAAAACCCTGAGAGCGGGGCTACAAGAGAAACTTTGTCCAGGACAAGATCTGGTGCAACTTTTGGAGTAAGTCCAAGTATTCGCCGTTCTGGCTTAGGAATGAATGAAAGAGTGCGGTCTTCTCTTTTAGCTAACAGACAACTTGGTGGATCAAGGCTTTCTGTCAGACCACAGCAAGTGCAGAGCTCTCGGCTTGGGGGGTCAACATCTGGCTCATCTTCAGCGTCTTCCTTAAACATGCGTCAGCCAACGCTTATCTCTGCCAGTGATGGAGATGGTGGGGCCTCATCCAGAGACAGCTTTAGGAATCAAGAGGGTAGGCCTCGCTATCCAATATTAAGAGGAAAACCAAACAATCGTGGAAAATTCAAGCCTGGCAATGGAGATGGTAAAGTATTTTGGTATTTGCTTGTGCTTAAAAGCTGCTAAAAAACGGTGTTTCACCTTAAATGTAAACCTACTTGGACCAAATGTTCATTTCTATATGGAAAATTGTTAGAGTGTATAATTTCCAATAAGCTCTGACCCTTTTTTTTTATTGGTAGGTAAAAATGGAAAGCCTAATCTGACAGCGACAGATGAAAAAGACACAATATCTTCTCAGGGAGGCAATAAGCCTGTTGGACAAAAGTTCATTACTGGGCCTGATGGAACCAGATGGGTAACAAATTTATATGGGCTTATTAAAGTTTCATTTCTGAGCCTGGTTTGCATTAAATTTATACAACTATTGAAATATGTACTTTTTGCATAGGTGGTTGATTTGGACAAAGGTGTTCTCATGAACCAAGATGGACAAATTCTCCAGGACTCACAAGGCAAACCCAAGCGAGTTGTCCTTGGGGAAGATGGACGTACAATTTTTGGTAATATATATTTTGGATATCTTTTCCTGCCTGCTTGCATTTTAAATACTGTGTAAAGCTTTAAGATCTCTTTTCCTCCTCATCATATTTCGCCAGACCATATGGGTAGCCCTCTCGTTAGCCAAGAAGGTATTGCTTTGTTTGGTCATGGCAGAGATAGCCAGCCTGTGGTCAACCCTAAAGAAAAGGTCCTCATGGTTGGAGGAAAACCTGTTCTTGGCTTGGATGTGCCTCTCCCAAGAACTTCCACCACCACTACTTCTGCTCCTACCACCACCTTAGAACCAACAACGACAGATTGGAGCACAGAGGATTTTAGCACTGCACAGCCTTACCCTACCTGTCCACCAGGAACCTTTTCCAAAACAGATGAATTTGGATACCCAGTTCTTGATCCAGAGGGAATTTTAGACTGTTATCCAGAAGGTGAGAACATTTTGTTAACATTGTCGAGAAAGACTTTTGTAAAATGAAGTACTATTGTGAAGTATCACAACGCACTCACTACAGTGTTTAGTTAACAAGTTTTCCATAGTAAGGAATAGGGCTGGGTACCGAACTTCGGTACTTTTATGGTACCGACCGAAATTCTTCGGTTCTACAGAGTAACTAAACATGCCTCGTCTTTCGGTACCAAGTTTCGGTGATTGGCTGTAACACTTAACGTGATTGCGTCATCCAGGAAAAATACACAGGTGGTCACGCCTACAGCCAGGGTTCATGTGTATCTGTTGTGAACTGGTTGTGAGCGTCGTGGAACCCCTTTAAAATGCCCCCCAGGTCAAAAGTGCGGCTTCACTTTATTAAGCCTGATGCCAATAGTGCGCAATGCAATACATCCTGCACGGAAATAATTTAAGAGCAGAAAGTCGCTCGGTGTTTGACTGCAGGAAGAGCGGACCGCAGCCAGCGCGACCATCCTCCTCTCAGCAGCCCGTGGGCGGAGCAAAGCTAGAGCGGAGTGAATAATGCGAGACACTCTTGGAGAATGCTGATTTAAAACTGGATGCAGCAGGGCCAGCAAAATCGCGTCTGCTGCTTCATTTTTGCTGCTTGTACCAGCTTCTGACGCGCGGCTGAAGCAGCTTTGCTGCTCTGCCTGCGCGGTCGAAAAGTGGCTCTGACGCGCGTTAGGCGGAGCTTCTCTATCCTTTCTCTGCCTTGCAGCTATATTTGCTGCGATCAGTGGGAATAAAGTAGTTTTATCATGTTTTTAAGTGGGGAAATCCACCTGAAAACTTAATCAGTGCAGTCAGTTCATCCTGCCTTCCAATATTTCTGTCGGAGCCGCTCAGACCCCCCCATACCAGCGGTGCGCTGTCAGTAGGATCCCATTCAACGGGCTTGTTTGTCAGACATGGTAATTTTTCTAAAGGAAAACTGCTAAGTAAAAAGGTCCTCACAATGTAACAGTGAATATTAGACACTGAATTTTTTTTTTTTTATGTAAGAGGAAAAATGTAAATGGAAAAACAGAGCTTAAAATAAAACTCAAGATTTGTACTTTTTTATGTTGTGTAATTTTCTTTTTTCTCGAATTGATATTATAAAACTGGTATCGAAAAAAGTATCGTTCAGGAACCGGTATCGAAGTGAAGGTATCGGTATTGGTACCGGAACCGAAAATTTTTGAACAATACCCAGCCCTAGTAAGGAAGCTGACTTTCCTCACCATAATAATAAACATCAAGAAAGTTGAATTTGAAACCATCCAGACAAAAACTTAGAATACTTCCTGTCTGTATCCACAGAGTCTCATAACTATGTGCTTTACTGTGATCTGGTGTGTATATAACAGATCTAGTCTCATCCAAATAAGACCGCAGAAGCCACATGTAAGTCTCTGCATGTGGGAGTTGGCTACAGTCACAGCACTGGCTGGTTAAACACTCTACAATCTGTCAAGTACAAATTGTCAATGGTGTTACAGTACGCCATGAAACATGCATAAACTCACAATGGGACATCCTGTATTTTTAGTGAGCACAGAGTCAATAAATTGTATATAATGTAAGCCTGATGAAATGAGTACAATTAAATCACACACAACCAATCAAGTACAAAGATTTGTTTTTTGCTGGTTCATATTGTGAGACTGATGGTTCAGCCTGTTCTACTTCTCTGACAGAGGAATCCTCAGGGATGGAAATGGACCATATGCTTACAGTGCCCATGATGCCTGATGCTTTAGGTCTTGAGAAAGGTATTGGCTGAGTCTGGCTTCTGACCAATCTATCACAAGGCTGAGGTTGACTAATTGCACTGCATGATTGTTGTTACAACACAGTCCTGTTATTCTGTTTTAAGTTTTCCCTATATTACCTGTTTTTTGTGCTTGCCTGTGGTCTACATCTTTATCAACTTATTTCTACAAGCATTTGTTTTGCTTCCTTTCACCTCATACATTTTTGTCTTGGATCACTTTCTTTATATGTTGCTTTTAATCACTTTTTTGCATACAAAAACCTTTCTTATAATTTCATAGTATGTATTTGCTGTTTCAACACAGTGTCATTATACAACGGATAGAGCCTATCTTCAGCAAAGCAACAAGCTGAATGAAAAACTGCAAGAGGAAGTCTGCTTTAGCACTTATATTTGCTTTATTGCTTCAGTGATTATTCACTTTTGTTCTATTTTTGGTTTGCCACAAGATTCTCACTGAGTTCTAAAATATCTTAGCCTTTTCCTGCCATGGCACTAAGCTGGCCAGCACGTATACAGACTATTATGCAATGCTATGATGCACTGCTGCAGCTTTTGAGAGAAACTCAGATTTAAGAGGAAGGAGCTTTTCAGGTTTCATCCCCCAAATGTTATACATTGGATTACTTTGGAATCTGGTGTGATACTTGTCACACATGGAAAATATGGGAGGCAAAATATAGCTTTAGACATCAATTCCAAAAAAGCAAGCTCACACTACTATTTTATGTGAATTCAACTAGTCTAACACTTTCTTTCTTTTCACTACATTTCACTGTATTAATGAAAAGTACAAAAGATACATATAAGGTTAGAACACAGATATTGTAAAATTTTTGATAAAATGATTATTCAACATCAGCATGTGTGATTTCTAGATGAATTGTTGATGCAGACCACCTTACCACCAACTACCACTACGATTGCCTCAACAACTACCACTACAGCAGTGATCCCAACCACAGGGTCACAGGCCACGCCGTCCAACAGAGGTCCTTTGTCGGAGTTTGATCTCAGTGGGAAGAAGCGCTTCACAGGTAAGATTTCCTACGAGTCTTCCAGCAAAAATATCCTCACCAGCCACTTTATAATGAAATATTTTTAACACAAATAGCAAATTAGTTATTCAGATGGTAGCAACTTAACAAATAAGGATGTCTGACAGTGGTTAAAATAGCAAACAAGTTTATATTTTACATCAGATTTTTAAAAAGGGCGATTTAATTTTACCTTGCAAGCAAGATGAATTTTCGTGAGTTTGGTTAATTCACAACCTCGAAAAACATCTTGCAGTCAACAGACCAATGAAATGCAGTTACATGTATGATGTCATCACATCAACCAAAGGCAGAAGGCTGAAGTAAAACAAAGATGGGTGCACCAGTTTTAGCTGGAATATTATAATACTTTCTTTTTGGAAAAATTAGCAAAAGGAAGCAATTTTTTCCTTTGTGGATGGGAAAGATATTTGCGATTGTGTCCTAGCTGGGAAACAAATCAAGAAGGTGATACAGCACACTTGCTGTTGCTGCTGTGATCGGCTAAAAACTCAACATGGGAGGCATGTACCTAATCAGCTTGAAGAATTGTACTGAATGTCCCTCCTTTAGGCAAATATTTTCTGTATATGGCTTTCCAGACACAATGTACACATAATGTAGTTCAACTTTAATTCTACACAGTATTAATCTGACTTATGCCAGGAAAGTTTCAAGTGACTTTAAACATCCTATATTTATATAATTGTAATCACTTTGGCATTTTTGTTCATTTTGTAATTCTTTTTATTGTTCCCTGATACTGAAAAGAACACATTTTGCAATAACATGGCAATAGAATATAGAACTAGGTTTCCCAGAAATGCCAAATGTGTATACTTAAACAAAGTCTTATTTACAGTGTGCTGTTCCAACCACAAACATTAAAAATACCTAATATTTGCATTTTAATGTAAACCCCTCCAGCAGATAGGCAGGAGTTTTAAACCCTCAATTTCTGTTTTCGTCACGAATCATTTAGATTACCATCTTAACAAACAATAATTTAGATTTATATTCCTTCTTTGACAAACCCCCAACAAAGCACAGTTCTGCGCAGGTTGCTTCAGATAAAATCTGTCACATTTTTATTGAATAAATGTAGATTTATTGTTCATTTTAGGTGACTCTGTTTAATGAAAGATTAAAAAATAATGTAATTTTTTTAGTCCTTTTGTTTTACTCATTTAGCCAAGATCTGTAAACATCTACAGTCTGTTTACTGTAGCAGTGTAAATTGTGCAAATCTGGGAAACCACTTGTGAGCAAGAGAAGCTATTGCATAACTGTTTTCACCGTCTCTGTAATACTCGTTGGTCATTAAATTGGATTTGACTTTTGAAATAGCAGCTACATCCAGCAAATTTAGAGGGGTGACAGGACATCTGGCTATCATAAAATGTTTTACAGATTTTGTTCCATCAGAGACAATGTTTATCATTTTGGATATAGATAAGGTCATTTTGATATGAGCTTTTATAGTACATTACTCTTGAGTAACAGTTCTACTTTTCACTTACAGACAGATTAAATGCATTCTGTCATTCCTCTGTTGATATTTTGTTGGACCCTTTCAGACATTTATAACCATATCCTTCCAAATACAGCGTCAAAACTGTGCCAATCTTCTCCAAAAGCAGAAATACAATGATGCAACAATGTGTTACATTCACTGTTTTATAAATGTGCACTCATATTACCACATGAAAGCTATTATTCTTCCGCGTTAAAATGGAAGTCCTAAAGTCTGAAGCGCTTGGCCTCAAAACAGGTAGATGAGTCTGTTGGCTCAATGTGGAGACTTCCTCCTCCAAGTTTATTAGTTTAGTATATTTAGGTCCCCTTCACCAGCTTGCCAGTCCACTGACATGTTTTATAGCAGGAGTGTCAATCTTGTTTTTTTAACTGGGCCACTTCAAGATCATCAAATCTTTAAAAGGGCCACTTGCAGCCTTTTAAATAAAACTTTTGATTTCATAATTTCATTTACAGAGCGCACACTTCTCTGGTATGCATTTAATACCATTTATTTAGCATTTTAGTTACTTTGTACACTCCAATATACCATATGCTTTCACTTTATGATATGCTTTGCCTATTTTGGCTTTTGAGAACCATATAAATTGTCATGATGGGTCGTATTAAGCCTGTGGTTGAGTTTTTTTCATGCTTTAGAGTAAAGTATCCAGCAGACATCCGGAACCTTCCCATTCTTGTTTTTTTTTCTGATAACATTTTAGTCAAGGCCAACAAGGGAAAAAGATTGTTTGCTTATCATTCTCAAAAGCTATGCAAATTAATTTTACGTAATGTTTGGTAAATATGACCACAATATGAAAAGACCATTTAGACTAAAACCTGAATAATGAAGTGAAATAATGTTTGCCATCATTTGTTTCAGAGCTTTTAGGTAACCCTAAAAGTGATTGCAAATTGTATATGAATATTATTTTTGGATCTAGACTTTGCTGAAGAAACTATTTTGTTTACTGTGTATTCACTATATAGCTTTTTTTAAAAGCTATATAGTGAATAAAAAACTCTATATAGCTTTTTTAAAAAGCTATATAGAGTTTTATACAAAAAAATACACTCCAGACATCCTGTTATAATATCTAATTGAAATAAATAATCTTTTTATCCACAGCTCCTTATGTGAACTACATCCAGAAGGATCCAAATGCACCATGCTCTTTAACAGAGGCTCTGGAGTACCTTCAAGTAGATGTCCTTGAAAGCTTGATGGAGAAGGACAGTAAAGCTGTCAATCAGAATCAGCCTCCAAAACACAAACCTCAAAATCTGACTGTTGTTGCCATGGAAGGCTGTCACTCTTTTATTATTTTGGACTGGGCCAAACCTATAAAAGATGACATGGTGTCAGGTAAGTAATACAAAAAATGTGTCTACTTGATTTTTTTTTAAATGTTACCTCTTCCCCAAAGACTATCCCTAAAATCTTGTTATATCTGTTTATGTCTCTCTGTCAGACTTAACATTTGAGCTTTTACTCGTAAGACAAAAGCACCAAAAATTAAAAAAGAGTCTAAACTTACAGTACATTTAAGTATAACCTATTTTATCACCTTTTTATTTTTACTATGGTTTAGAAAATATTTTTGACATGGTTATAGCTATCACTTATCTTTTAATCGACACATGGGAATCTGTTGCTTTAATCCTGTCGTTTTACATGGAATATCAAAACATTTCCCAACCTGGATTATGATATGTGGAAGGTATGTAACATTAAAAAATCTCATGTAAACACCCGACTACATGAAGCTTTGTGAGTTATCAGCATGTCACTCTGGCCACATAGAGAAGCAGAGTGTTTCATTTGGCAGACAAACACAGGCTGCTGGTCATACTGTGGATAACTTCATCCTCTGATGTGTATAACAGATAGACGGTGTTCTGTTACTTATGTTTTCATCATCTGTTACTGTTGGCTTCCTCTATTCTCTGCTTACTGAACTTAGCATGTAACCTTCTTGCGATCTTTACTTGTCAACTTTGTGTACAGAGCATAGAAAAGATAAATCTTTCCCAAACTTTACTACATTCTAAATACTAGTTCAGTTGATCTGAGGACTACTGTCTTTCTGTCTGTCTGTCTGTCTGTCTGTCCTCTGTTATTCTATAGTTCTATGTATTGTTTTCTCCGTCTTCCTTTGCATTTCTGTCTATCTAAACTATAATAGTGAGGAAAGAAGTTATGTAAAGGGCAAAGAGACAGATGGCCAAGAAAGATACATAAGAAAGCTACCCTCACAACTATGTACATCAGAGAAGGAATGAAAATCTGTAAGAAGAAAAACAAATTTGTTGGTATTTCCCCTCTGCAGAGTACCCAGCTGCTTTGGTGCAGCTCCAGTGAAAACAGAGGGAAAATTTAAGGCGTCCAACAGAAAGAGTAGGATATTTCATGTGCTGGTTCCAGTTAGTTTTTAGATGAATAACAGAGCCATGCCACCGAAAGAATAATCATATATATTTTGGGAAGTCTTAGTTTGAGACGGGAATTTTACAATAAATTTAAAAGAGATACCTAAATCTTTTCTAAGTTTTTTTTGCATGTCATAATGTCAAAATAAGGTTATGAAAAATACCTTTATTTTAGTTTTTAAACAAATTAAAACTACATCTAATTTAATTTCATTATGTTTATTGAAACCATAACATTTGATATTGTTTTTCTTCCTTAAGGCTACTTGGTACACAGTGCTACTTATGACGACGTGCTCAACAATAGGTGGTCTTCTGGAGTCTCCACTGGGACCCACCTGCCTGTGGAAAATCTTAAGCCCAACTCCAGGTAACATATGAGATGGTTTATGTTTATACTCCTGCACAAATTATGCATACTTGCTTAGAAGGCAGTTCATGTCTGTTGCTCAAGTAATTTAAAGAACACTGGGGAGGCATAAAAAGAAGAACCAGATTTTAAAAAGATTTGCCTGATTCTCTTCAATAAAAGCAGAGCTCTCTTTTGGGGTTTTTCCAGCTTTTCATAAACGTGCTTGTATGTCCGACTAGATTCATACTGTGTAGAGTATTGTGAGCTGAATTCAATAAAACTAACAAAATGTTTCTCAAAGTAATATAAATTGGATATAAATAGAGGCAGGCAAAGAACCAGATTTCACTTTCATGTGACATCTGGTTGTGAAACTGTTAAGACCTCAGAAAATTTTGTGGAAATTCAACACTGCGCTTTAATCCAACGCTTACTAACAGACACAGGAAACCAATGCCATTCCTTGTGTTAGTTTCCAAAGCTTTGTTTCACTTTTAACAATATAATAGATAGAGCAAAAACCTAACCTAAATTTGATAATCAGAGCCCATAAAGCTGCATGGAAGTCCTGAGCAGATTATTTAGGTATCTAGTTCAATTAAGCCCACTGACCACAACAGCCCCCCACAACTTATCTTTTATAGTGGTAGTGTTCCATCACTTTTGCATGTTGTATTTACCACACCTTGGTAAATACTAGTCTAAAGAGGCCCAGTCACATAAAAAGGCTGAATCAAAAACAACAATATCCATATCAGTCATGAGATCTTGTTTTAGTCAATCCAAAAAAAAAAAAGAAAAAAATGGAAATGCTTTGTACGCAATCAAAAACCTACTCACGTAGAAATTCGTAAAGACATAATATGTAACTGGCAGAAATGGGAGATTTTGAGCCATCAAGTCATCTCTATGCCATGTGTTTGTTCTACCCAGCCACTGAACCAGGTGAGTCCAGATGTGTGTAAGGATTGGATTTACCTGGTTTCAGTGGCTAGACAGAACAATTTTATGACTTAGAGATGAGTTGGTGGCTACATATCTTTCACCTCTTTCTGGTGACACGGGACCGTCAACGCATCTATCTATCCATCTATCTATCTATCTGTCTGTCTGTCTGTCTGTCTGTCTGTCTGTCTGTCTGTCTGTCTGTCTATCTATCTATCTATCTATCTATCTAATCTCCCACTTATCTTTTCATGTTGTTAAATCTCATCATCCAGGTTATAGTCATTCCAGATTTAAAAAAAAGGAAAGCCAATAGCCAGGACAAAAGCATCACAATATTACCAGCAGACAAAGGAAAATGCAGAGTGGTCCTCAAAACTTCCGAATACACTTACACATATGAATCTTTAAAAAGATATCCAACCAAAACCTACAAAAATAAAATCACGGACTACCTCAAGCAACTTGAAAATGACAAGGTAATTAACCGTTCAGCTTATTTTAGATTAAATCCAGATGCTCTTCAAACCTGTGGATATCCAAACTGGGTGTTCATCAAAACAGCAAGGAAATGCAAAAGACACGCAGCAGAACATAAGGGTGAGAAGATTAAATGCAAAAACATCTCCATCCCATATGTTGCCTGAGTCTCTGAAAAACTCAAGAGGATTTTCTTCAAACACAAAATACCAGCACATTTCAAAGGAAACAAGAACCTTAGACAGAGACTAGTGCTTCCTAAGGACAAAACCCCCAAACCAAATATGAGTGGAATGGTGTATGCTGTTCAGAGCAGTGATGAATACTCTGATCTTTATTTTGGAGAAACCAAACAACCTCTCCACAGATGCATGGCCCAACACAGAAGAGCAACCTCCTCTGGACAAGACTCTGCGGTACATCTACACCTTATGGATAAAGGACATTCTTTTGAGGACCAGGATGTTAACATTTTGGATAAAGAAAATAGGTGGTTTGAGAGGGCCCGGAAGGAAGCCATCTATGTTAAGACAGAAAAACCGACCTTAAACAGAGGGGTGGACTCAGGTTCCAGCTTTCAAAAACTTACAATGCAGCTATTGAGTTAATCCCTTCCCGTTATCCTTGCAGCCCCACCCCATCTCGTCTATTTAGCCAGTCTTACAATCCCTTTTAACGACCAACCTTTCAGACACTTAGATGGTTATGGGGTAGTGCAGTCTAACAAAAGAAGCCAAACGACCCCGATTCCAAATGGGTGGACCCCTTCTTCTGTTCCAATTTGCATGTATTCAAAACAGGGCTTTTTTGGGCTATTGTATAAAACCTCGAACTCAACACTATTCCTGATATTTTTAATTGAAAAAGCTTCCTGGATGGGAAGCTAAATGTCTTCAAATTTGGAAACCAAGTCCAGTGGACTGTTTTAGTGTTTTTTTTATTGTTTGTCTTCTTCACACGTCTACCTACATTCTGTTTGAAGAAACATAGTATGGCTTTTCCCAAACACCACACCAGAGCATGTGAACGGAGCGTAGCGCAGCGCAATTCCCGCTCCCCACTCAGGAGGATGTTCGCTCATTCGTTCTGCCGCTCAAAGTTGTGCCAGGATGGTCTGCTAAAAATCCGCTTGGCACTCACTGTAATTTTCCTGCCGCTGCAGCGAAATCGCTCCATGCTCGCTCAAATATTCAGAAGAAGGCATTTTCTGACATTTTTCCTTCATGCAATTGTGCCAGGGGCCAGGGACACACAGCATTTGATTTAATGACTTGATGAATGAATGATACACGTGTATTGTCTTATTTAACTGGGTGTTAAATTATCGCACTGTTTCCCAGCAGTGAACATAACACCTCGCTCCATTCATGTTGCCACGCATTTCCTATTTAATTATTAATTGTCGAAAAAAATCATACTTAAATCAAATAAATGCTATTTTACGAATGTTATAATCCTGGTTCAAAGTGAAATCCTCGCTCCGGGCTTTAAATTGAAAACTGCTCTGCAATATTTCTTCCATATTTCTTCCACTCCGTTACCACCCCTTGCTCCACGCTCCGCTCACATGCTCTGCACCACACATGAAGTACAATGATTGCATGCAGGAGTTTTCCATCACATTTTAAAAATAAGACTTTCCTCCCTAGCAGCTACTTTATATCAAAGATCATGTTGTGCTTTCCATAAAGTTAAAACCTCCCTTTACTTTTAATTGGACCAAGTATAAGTTAAAATGATAAAATAAATCTTTTAATATTTGTTGTTTCTACAGCAAGTCATGATTATTTTCCTCACTCATATTTCACCACAAGCTATACGATCATTTTTGTTTTTTAACTTCGTGGTCAACCTATGATAGATAATTGGAGGAGTATCTCAATATAATCTGTAATGAGAACCTACACATACAGTAACATTATTTTGTCACACCAAATGAAGCTCTAACATTTGTTATAAAATGCTTGGTGTTATTAGAATAGCATTTTGTCTGTTTTAAAACTCGCAATTACTGAATGTCTTCTTTTAGCCTCTTACATGACATCATCTCTCAGCAGCTGCATTGCTTTATTGTCTCTCGCTCTCTGAAATATTTTTGTCAGTGTCGTCATATGGCCGTATTGATTAAATCCAGGCCTGTGGCTTTATGTGATGAAACTTTCTGGGTAGAGTGATGGACCATTAGCTTACTGTATGTGGCTTTGAAGAGTCAAATAAATGCAAAAATCAGGGGTTTGCAGTGGAAAAGTTCTCAAACTCTCGAGTGTTTTGATTATGACAGGCCTTTATAATTCTTCTTTAACCCAGAGAGAGTGTGTATTCAGTGCATAGGTTTGTTTGGGCCTTTGGCAGTAAAATGTGTGACATGTACTGAACTTCTTGGTAAGAAATATTTCCTTTGAAAACACACCCCACTTCCATATTTTTCCATTTTCTCTCAACAGTTGTTTTTTTCTCTGCTTCACTTTTTCCACATGATTTTGTTCTATCCTTTTATCTCATCCTTTGCTTATCTGTTGAATTAATTTCTATGCGTTTCTCTTCCATCCCCAATCACCCTTCCCTTATTCCCCACTTCCTTAGCCTACTTTCAGAAAACAGCTTTTTACATCTCTTTAAGCTTTTGAATCAAACAAAGTGAAGGATGCCAAGTCATCTGCTGTCCTCATTATCTTTAACAGTCATAACAAATCTGGCAGAATGACACTAGAGCCTCTCAAACCCCCTTTAAATCATGCATTGTGCTCTGCTTTAATACAGGTACTACTTCAGAGTGCAGGCTAAGAATGTCTACGGTTTGGGACCATTAAGTGAAACACTTACCTATGTCACCGAGTCAGGTATGTCTATAGAAGTACATTTATAAAGATCTGTATTGATCAGAGTTAAAATAGATAGTCCAAATTTATATTTACTTTGTGATGGATGATATCCAAAATCCAACATTCAAACAAGAGTTATAGAATTTAGTGTTTTTATATTTCCATTGTTTTTTCAGGTTTTATACACACACACATATATATATAAACTCTTCCTCACCCATCGCGGGTGGTCTTCCCCTCTTTTTTCCCCCATACTCGGGTCCAAACTCGGGTTCTCTATCAGAGGCCTGGGAGCTTGAGGGTTCAGCGCACTTACTGTGCTGTTCCTAGACCTGCACCTTTCTGGACCGAGATGTCTGATGTACCAACTCCTTCAGTTTGGGGGTCACTGCCCCAAGGGCCCCAATGACCATGGGTACCACTGATGCCTTGACCTTCCAGGTTTTCTCCAGCTCTTCTCTGAGCCCCTGGTATTTCTCTAGTTTTTCATGTTCTTTTTTCCTGATGTTGCAGTCACTTGGTATTGCTATGTCATACTCTTGCCACATGAGGCCGGGCATTGTCGTGCACCAGGAGGAACCCAGTACCCACTGCACCAGCATAGGATCTGACAATGGTTGCAAGGATTTTATCCCAATACCTAATGGCAGTCAGGGTGCCGTTGTCTAACCTGTAAAGGTCTGGGCGTCCCTCCATGGATATGCCTCCCCAGACTATCACTGACCCACCACCAAACCAGTCATGCTGATCAATGTTACGGGCAGCATAACGTTCTCCACGCTTCTCCAGACCCTTTCACGTCTGTCACATGTGCTCAGGGTGAACCTGCTCTCATCTGTGAAAGCACAGGGCACCAGTGGCAACTTGCCAATTGCGGTGTTCTGTGGCAAATGCCAATTGAGCTCCACGGTGCCGGGCAGTGAGCTAAGGGCCTACTAGAGGACGTCGGGCCCTCAGGCCACCCTCGTGAAGTCTGTTTCTGATTGTTTGGTAAGAGACATTCACACCAGTGGCCTGCTGGAGGTCATTTTGTAGGGCTCTGGCAGTGCTCCTCCTGCTCCTCCTTGCACAAAGGAGCAGATATCGGTCCTGCTGATGGGTTGTAGACCTTCTACAGCCCTGTCCAGCTCTCCTGGAGTAAATGCCTGTCTCCTGGAATCTTCTCTGTGCTCTTGAGATTGTGCTGGGAGACACAGCAAACCTAGCAATTGCACATATTGATGTGCCATCCTGGAAGTGTTGGACTGCCTGTGCAATCTCTGTAGAGTCCAGGTAACGCCTCATGCTAACAGTAGTGACAGTGACCCTAACCCAATGCAAAACTGATGAAAAAGAGTCTGAAAAGATAAGGATGGGAAAAAATGTCAGTGGCCTCCACCTGTAAAACCATTCCTGTTTTGATGGTCATCTTGTTGTTGCCCCTCTAGTGCACCTGTTGTTAATTTCATTAACACCAAAGCAGCTAGAACTGATTAACAACCCCCTCTATTGTTACCTGACCAAATCAAAATCCCAGAAGTTTGATTAAATTGATGCTATACTCTGATTACAAAGTGTTCCTTTAATTTTTTTGAGTAGTGTATATATATATATATATATATATATATATATATATATATATAGCTTGTTTTCATATAAAGGTTGATTTGTTTGTTTTTAAGTTGTTTTCAAATTCCTGCTTTGATTTTTTTCCCAGATGATCCTCTTCTCATCGCCAGGCTACCTGGTAAGTTGTTTCACTTGCAGGATATATTTAGCGTTAGAAAAGCAACAATATGTTTTTTTTAACATTCACTTAGAAGCATATCACAAAATGTAGGATTTCTGGGTTTATACTTGCTTAGATGAAAAAAAAGGATATTAACTTATATATCAACATTTATTAGTAGAAATTAGAAAACTGTAATGTAGAATTCAAAAAGAAATGTTTTAGACATTAAAGGGACACTATGCAACATTTTTCAGTTAATTAATGTGTTCCATAACGTTTTGGATGATTAAATGAGTAATTTCAGGTTGAACAAAGGTATTCTCGGCCGCCCTGGTGGTCTGTGGGGGAAATACTGCACTTGCAACTGCAGGAGCACCGACCCGCACCCACAGGCTCAGAAGTCTCGTGAGAGTCAGTCTTGCTTTACGGCGAGAACTGCTACACGCCCCCAGTTAAAAGCATTCTCGTTGCTAGCACAGTGGCGATCTTTGTGCAGTTATGCTACGTTCACGCAGCAAAAGCAGCAAAATCGCGTCTGCTGCTTCCTTTTTGCTGCTTGTACCAGTTAGTTCTGACGCGTGGCTGAAGCAGCTTTGCTGCTCCGGCTGTGTCTGAGGCGCGTTGGGCGGAGCTTCACTATCCTTTCTCTGCCTTGCAGCTATATTTGCTGTGATCAGTGGGAATAAAGTAGTTTTAATATTTGTTTAAGTGAGAAAATACACCTGAAAACGTAATCAGTGCAGTCAGTTCATTCAGATTATTATCCTGCCTTCAATATTTTTTCTGTCGGAGCCGCTCAGACCCCCACATACCAGCGGGGCGCCAACAGTATGGATCCCTTCATCAGCAGCGGTTCACCGCGGCAGCTGGTAGGTGTTTTTCATCTAAATAATCCAAACTGCATATTCTGCCGGCAGATTTCTGCATTTTAAGTTAATTTAGGCGTCAATAAACTGTTTAAGAGGAGAGATCATCAGCGCTGTGTCTCTCTCCCTGCGTTAAACGCACCCGACGCGCTGTTTCAGCTGCTCAGACGTGCTGCGCCTGGTGCTCAAAACGCGCCGCGGGACCTTTTGTTGCGCCTTGACGCGCGTCAACCATTGACTTTGCATGTAAACTCGCTGCTTCTGTCGCGCCAGCTACGTCCAGTGTGAACGCAGCGTTAGTCATTCGCTGCTAAGCTCAAAACAACCGCGCCTGGCTTGATGGAGAAACCAGGAGAACAGCTGTGCATATTTACGACAGTGCACTTTTACTTTCGCCCTCTGGAGGGAGCCTCACTGGAAAATCAACACCGGTTGCATAGTGTACCTTTAAGTACCCTCCAACTAGAACAGATTTCCTGAATAGAAATTTTTATTTTACAATTTCCATAAGCAGTACCAGCCGTTGAATCACACATGACACAAAGGCCATTGAACATTGTGGGTTAAGGGTAATTAAGTTCACTGTCATCAGTGGCCGTTCTACACCATATTTACCAGGCGGACCAGAGTGGGAAAGCGTGTTTTCATGGGGGCAAAAAAAGCATGGAACTAAAAATAAAGGCAATATTTTTTATTTGAAACATATTTAGAAAGCCATAAAACAATATAATAAGTTGCAGCTCTGTACTGAATGAAGGGAATTGTTTACATCGTTAAGTTTAATTAAAATTTCCTGTTGTCCCATTTGAAAAAGTGTATTTTTGGTTTAAAAATTTTGATTTTATTTACATAACAAAAAAAATTATCATGGAAAAAAAAAAAATGAAATAATTACTTGCTAAATCAACATTTAATGGAAGATAAAATAAAGCTATTCTTTGGAATATTAACTCAACGTACATACATAGATCAGGGATTACATTTTTTAAATTATTATTTTAAATGAAAATTACCAGTTTTAAACAAATTCGAATTAGTACTTGGTAAAACAAATCAGTTCAGCTGTAACAAACTAGAGTATTTTTTAAGATGTAGCATATAAGAATTGTGATCTTATCTCAATACGACTGAAGCTATCACCTTAATTTTTAAAAAATTACTTAAAAACAGATCTGTTAAGGAAAATAATGATAAGGGCCTAAGGGACCTATCAGTCAACTATGTGTGTTCCATAAATTTCATCATAAATTTTTTTTGTGTGTGTTGTATAGTGTTGCGCTGATGCCATTTTTTGGCCCTGATACCGATACCCGATACCTGGCTGTGCAGTATTTGCAGATACCGATACTATACCGATACCATCTGTTTGAACTTGATGTGTCTGTATATAAATAACTGCATATTACTTGGATGTAAAATAACTGGCAAAATGACTTTGTCAAGCTGCTGCCTTCCTTTGTGAAGCAGAAAAAGACTAATACAAAGTGAATCCAGTAGAACTTTTTATTGCCTACCTGGAATGGGTGACAATAGTTGAATAAATGTTTGGCTCTCAACATGGTATCGGTGCCCTATTTGTTGGTACTTGTCGATACCTATACCACCATTTCATTGCTGGATCGCTGCCCCGCCAGATACTGGTATTGGTACAACACTAGTATTGTATCTTCAGGACAGGGGAGATAACAGTTGCCAGGACCAGTTGTACATCGCCCCCTGTCTAGAACTGCCCATGACTATAAAAAAGGTTCAGCATATCATTTGGTAAATACACCTTTAGATAACTAAAGACTGTAAAGCAATTAGGATGATTATATGTTCAAATGGGTTGGGTCAGGTTTTCAGTTTTGCAACACCTTTCTTTTGATGTTTTGTTTAGGTTTTCTGTAAACAATCTGTAAATTTATAAAATCTGCACTAATGGCAATTAGAAAATCTTTATCATTTCTATATTCTACATATTAAATTTTATAAGATGGAAGATAAAAATATGCCAAAACTTGCTCCACTTCTCTTCTTTCTATTCTCTCAGGAGGAGAACCCATCTGGATTCCTTTTACCTTCAAGTATAACCCAGCCCACACTAGCTGTAAGGGCAAACAATATGTCAAGCGGACATGGTACAAAAAGTTTGTGGGTGTCGTCCTGTGCAATTCTCTACGCTATAAGATCTTTATGGCTGACGATCTCAGAGGTAACACATCACATTAGGGGTTTACTCTGCTCTTTCATAAATGAAAAAAGGAAACAATAAACAAGTTTCAATAACGCTCCTCTTTCTGTTACCCAGTGCCTTTTTACAGTATAGGAGATACTATGGGCCAAGGTGAGGACCACTGCCAGTTTGTGGACTCCCACAGAGATGGAAGAACGGGGCCAGCCTACCTCTCAGAAAATCTGCCCTCAGCGCAAGGTAAACAATAACAGCTGTGCACATGGCTTGTGACTTATTATATTTTTTTCCATGGCGTATGAATAGTTCTGCTGTAGGGCAGAAGAATTAATTTTGTATCTATGCAATGCACACCAAATGAAGTCAAACTTGCTTTGTAGTGGCAGCCTGAAAATAAGTCTTTGTAAAATTGTCGTGTAGTAAAACCATCGGTTAGATATTCTCAGCATTTTGTAAAATGCTAAAATGAGAAATATTTCAACATTTCAATCATTAATTTGTCATTTTCATAAAAAGTATTCATTTGTTTGGTTAATACTCCTTGTATTACAGGATTTTACCGTGCCTACAGACAGGAGCCGGTTTCCTTTGGAGTCATTGGCCGCCGTACATCCCATCCATTTGTGGGGTGGTATGAATGCGGGGTTTCCATTCCTGGGAAATGGTAACTCTGAAGAGGAGACATTTTATATGAACAGCAGCAGCTCTGCACCCTGCAGCATGCTCTCAGCTGCCTTTCTTGTCCATTGAAGACAGACATTCACCTACAAGCACAAAGACACCACTATATATTTTATATTGCTCCAGAGGAAAATAAAACTCAAAATAGTAGCTTAAATCAGCTAAATATGTATCATTACAATGCACTTTTTATGTAAAGCAGTCTGTATATGAGGGGAAATAAGCTTGCTCTTGCTTAGCATAACTATTATTACAAAGTGCTCTTCTATAATTAACAGAGAGGTCCTTACCCAGTGTTATTTATCTCCTTAATAACAAACCCACACGAGGTGAATCCAGTGACACTGGACCAGAAACTACAAGATAAACTGTAAAAAAGAGCACTAGAGATGTGTATAGGTCTGTTCATTTTCATCCATGGTATTTGTATTGCATATTTTATGACCTATTTTGTCTATTCATGTTTTACACCCATCATACTGTTTTTAATAAACTCTGTATCCTCTTTGAAATTTTTTATTTTACATTGTAAGTTTTATATGTATACAAACAAAGAATAAAAGGCTAAATATGTGCTCAGGAAATTTGAGAGATTGAATAAAGACCTTATTACAACTAAAATTGCAAAAGATCAGTCATATCATGTTTCCTCTGGTGACAAATTCACAAATACTGCACATGTTTACTTTCACAATGGCACAAAAAAGAGAAAGTGCAGAAAAGCTAGTCAGTTTATAACAGATTTTAAAAACTCATGGACTGAGAAGAAAATCAATTCTGTATTTTAAATAACCTCTTGAGGCTTTTAAGTTGATCAAGGTACATGGTTGGAATGGAAGTCTGAATGCCTAAGCAGCCATGTGTTCAAATCAAAAATAGACCACCGTATCTTCAACATATATTGCATGTTTGAACAGAGCAACATTAATACATTTAAGCTAAGGTGACTTACCACAACTATTCATTCCAGTTTTCTGACATTTTAAAAATTGTTTAAAATCCAATATGGTTACCATGCATGGGTGGTTCTAGACAAGGGCCAACAGGGGTCACTCCACCTGTAGAACAGGTCCTAGCCCCTGTTTTGCAGTCCAATACTAAATTAAAGGGGAACACCGTTTTGTTTTTTTTTACATTGGGCCCTTGATTTTATGTTATTACATCATGTTCTACACACCCATATGAGTTTTGCTGTTTCTTTTCTGTGTATGTTTGTTAATCTTTTGCTCTGTGCCCCCCTAAAAAACACTGGCCCCCTTGGTAGATTCCGTCTTGAACCCTCCCTGTTGTAAAGTATTCTAAAAGTAACAGAGCTAAGTTGCTGCTACCAGTGACATGTATCTCCCTTTATGCACATGCCACTGTTTCCATAAAATCCTAGTTGTCTTGGTAATTTCTGACACTAATTAGCTTATCCAAAAGGCTTTCTGATAACCAACTAGATTATAATTCCAAAAACCTTACCAAATAATCTAGAATACAACATTCTTTATAAAAGAGCATACTAGATAATAAAAAATTGTGAATAAAACAAAAAAGAAATAACACAAAATTGTACTGCAGTTTAGCTTGATGATTTTAGCTTGTTAATTAAGTTGCATAACAATGAACAAATCCCACTGGATTCTGGCTTGAAGACTGAACGCAGTTAAGTTAGATGTTATTTAATTAGTCTTCTAATGCCTTAAGAAAACGAAAAACACAATAGAGGATTGCACTATGATTTATGGTTTAGAATAAGTTTGTGGTTAATTGTGTCAGGCTGTAAAAGCTGTTGCAGTGTTGCACCAAATTTTCCAAACAGCAGTACTTAAATCAGTCATACACATCACAGGGGATTTGTTCTATTCATTCAGTTTTTAATTGTATAAACCTCATTTATAATTCTGTGTTTAAAGTAAAGGCCTACTGTTTGATGTTTGGTTTGTTTGTGTAGTGTGGGGGTGAGGGAGTGTAGAGGATGGATGTGTTACCACTGCAGGAAACTGATCTCTTAAGTTTACACTCGGAGAAGTACATTTATTCAGCCAATTGTGACTAGATTGCTTTTATAATCCCATGCTATAAATGTTGGAATATGCAATTCAATCCAGATAAAATCTTTCCCATGGTTAGGCTTTCATTTTTATTTCCTAGATATGTGTGGCGTTTCAGGTTGATTGCAATATTAAACCACCAATTATTCTTAACCTTTCATTAAATAACCAATTCAAAAAGAAAAGTGTATAATTATGAATGGTTCAGCAACACATTAAAATGGGTGGAAAGCCTTTTTCAGTTATGTAGGATTACTGGAGAAGTCTGCTTTGTGTTTGTTGCCAGGTAATTATTATTGTATTTATAAGATTCTGAGATTATTTCTCAGACGTCAGATGGATTTATGTTTTTCCACCGTTCAACAACATAACCCCTGCTTCTCTTCTCAAATCTTGCTTAAAAGTAATTCTAACCATTTTTGTGTCAAATCTAATTCTGGGAACAATTATCATGATATCCAGACAAATCATAACTACTGTTTTGTTATTTTTCACTCCCCGCAAAAAGGAAAAGGACTTTTTCTGAGCTGGACAGTGTAGCTCTAAAGCAGGATAAGCGTCTCCCGTGAGAGAAATCTGGGCGTTTTGGGGTTTGTTTTCATATTTGCAGCAGACCAATTTGTCATCACTTTAATGGGTTATTGTCACATTTCAAACATTCTTTCCAGGTATGCTTGGGGGGGGTCGAGGTTCTGCAATCATGTGTTTTCAGTGAGTGATGAGCATCTCTACCCTCAAAATATTTTTTTTGGCTGCTGCTCTTGATCCGTGTGGAAAAATAGCATTCATCTCTAACCACTATGAGAAACCTGATCCCTCTATGACACCTGCAATGGAATATAGAAATGTTTATGGATTAAGAAAATGAGAAGAGGACCAGCTGAAAAAAAAAAAAAGAAAATAGGGAAATTATACTGAATAGACCTTGTAATGCAGGGAACATGTACTGAAAGTCTATTTTAGACTTACACTCTAAAGATTTTTAAAAATTGCCATTTTCAAAGTTGGTTTATTTTAGCCACACTGTAGGTATTTATTTATATTTTTTCTAATGAAAAGCTTATTTAAAAGCACACTGCGGACTTTGTGACCTAAAGAGTTGACTTATATGAGATATTTTTAAATTATTCCTCAGACCAACATAGAGCGCTTGACAATATCAATGCTTCAAGCGGGGCTTCCCTCTTGAAATACTGACTATGTAAGTTGGGAGAAGACGCACCGTTGTTGGCCAGGTCATGTGACCTGGAAGAATGTATCGCTTTACAGCCACAGGCTCTTATATAGTCATGGAGTGAAGGCTTTTGCTCTACTATTTTTCCACCTGCTTGACACTGGTCATGGCTGAGGCAAGGATAAAGTTTAAACCTTCTGAGGAGGCCAAAAAGAGAAAACGGGAAAGGGATTGTGCCTCAGGAAATACAAGAGTCAATCTTGGAAAGAAGTTTGTTTTTTCTGCGCAGGCTGAAAGAAGAAGCAGGATGTAAAACCGACTCTCTTTTCTCAACTTTATTATTAGACTTTTAAGTTAACACTTTGCAACAGTTACACAGTGTGCCATTAAGGACACATTACAGCATTTCAACTAGATTCCAATTTAGACTTTGACTTGGTCACTCAAAAACATTCATTTTGTGTTGTTTTTTTTTAATCCTTTAAAACCATAAAGATCCAAATTTGTGTTTTTGTTAGTTAAAGTATGTTGCCAGTGTCCTTGAGCAACAAAAGCACAATGCCACTGCCACACATGACTGTACATAAGCTCCTTATATAAAACACATTAAAACTAAAATGTTTCACATTTTTCTTACGCTTAGGTTATCTTCAGTTAATTCTACAATTTGTTGATGATCACAAATACCAAATGTGACAAAATCTGAAGAATTTTGTTGGAGAAAGCAATACCTTTTTATAGAGCTGTAATTCCTGTTGTGGTTATAGAACAATGCTTCAGAGGCATTTTAATTTGGAAAATAAAAAAGTGTTTCACCTTTTGTGACATCCATCAACTCCACAACATGTCAGAAAGTAAGTTATCATTACATTGTACTGTTTTAGTTTGCTAACTGGATGATGTAATTACAGTACCTCTTTGTAAATGCAACCTTGATATATCAAGATCAGTGTTGTTTAGTAAAAGTAAAGTAAAAATACTATTTATTGTAAAGTAAAAATACTTCACAGTTGTACTTGAGTATATTTTGGAGTATGTTATACTTTCCTGTAGTATACATTTTTTTTGATAAATTTCACTTTTACTTCACTATATTTCCAAACTTAATTGCATACCGGTACTTTTAATCGGATACATTTTCAATGTTTGATCATCCATCCATCCATCCATCCATCCATCCATCCATCCATCCATCCATCCATCCATCCATCCATCCATCCATCCATCCATCCATCCATCCATCCATCCATCCATCCATCCATCCATCCATCATTCTAGGATATTCTAAGAAAATCCAAGTGGGGATGAGCAAACCCCACACAAATGTAGAGGCCATTACCATTGAGATTTTTTTTTAAAGAACAAGCGCATTAAAATGGTCGAGGGGTTTGCATATGCATGCACTCCTTTCCTGGAGGCTATGTAGTATGGGACATTGGCCCATGAAAGGGTCTGCTTTGATAAATTACTAAAAGACCTCTAGAGTCTATTTACCAATAGCCTAGTGGGAAAGTTACCACTGACTAAGGTGAATTTCTTCCAGATTAGAACGACTGGGGTTGGGATGGCAGCAGGTAACTCCAAGCATCTACTTCTGGGTTGAACAGGCTATGAAATAAAGACTTTCCCACATCCAACTGCATTCTCTATTACATTCGGCTGACTTTGCTGAGGTCTCAGGCAGTTAAAAGGCAGAACAGCATGGACCTACTTGTCCCTACCAATAATTCAATGTGAATAACATGTTTATAATTTACAATACAGCGTTTTTGTAGCAGTCCCTTCTTTTCCTCTCACAGCCTATAGCTGTTGCTGCTGCTCCAACTGAGTGCTTGCCTGGTCTTTCCTGTCCCTTAAACTGAGCAGCACAAGCAACTGTGCTTAACTCAACTCTTGTTGGTTGTTTTTCCATAAGTTCCGCCTTCTCTCTTCCTGATTGGCTGTTTTCTTGTAATTATGAGTGCGTGTATGCATGGAGCACAAAATCTATATTTTATTCAAGCTAAAATACTGCAGTTACTACAATTAACCTTAGGCTGCTAAACTATTCCCAATTAAGAAAATAAATATTATTTACGCCATAAGAAGCGAAGGCTGCTGGTTGCAGTTCTGTAAAGAAGCAGGAGAGAATATTTTGATTGTGGAATTTGAGAGATGTAAGTGACCAACGTTGCATCTCAAAAACAATATTTAATTCTGAAATATAATACATTTTATCAACAAATACCTTTGCTTCTTTTATACAACTAAATATTCTGTGTCAGGCAGGAGTTCTGAAGACTGCTGGAAAAATGGACAAGCAAAGACTGTAAGCTATCAAAAATTCTATTTTTTAGCCACAGCCGACTGAAAAGAAATAGTAAGGGTTCCCCTTTAACCAATGTTTCTTTGCTATTACTGTTTTCATTTTT